AATAAATAAATAGAGTAGCATATATAGAAGAAAGTGAAGGTATTAATTATTAGTATTTAGTAAATAACAGATGATAAGTAAAATTGGAGTGCAAAAACTAAATGCAGAGCATGTGAGCGAGATATGGGGCTGAGTCGATCGTTTTTATTCAAATTAAAGAATTTCGCCTCTTTTTTGTGGCAGATGATCACGTGACACTGCACCTGCGCATTCATTGAACCATTTATATATATATATGTATGTATTATCATTATTATATTATACTAAAATTAAAATATATAAAAATAAATATTTATTCATCACTTTTCTTTTCAATGTGGACGGACGTAATTAATTAAAGTTGCATGTTCGGTAGCTGTACATTCATTCATAACAAGTTGACGAGTCTCATTTTCGATTTTATTTATTTAAATTTGATTTATAATAGTAATAGAAAATGTTATATGACCCTCGAAGTCAACTTTTAGTGAACAACAAGAAATGCTATATATATATAGAAATTTCCAGTTAAAATAGACTTTTAGACTTAGTTATCTCATTTTTTAAAGTTACAATTATTCATCACCACTTTTATTCATTTTAAAAACTCAAAAAAAAAAAAAAAAAAAAAAGTCTTCTACTGAGTAACTGAGTTAAAGATGCCTTATTTTGAAGGGTAATATTGAAAAATGGCCCGAGTTAGAAGAAGAATGAGACACGACACTTGTGATTTGTGAATCCATGTGACTTTTGGATTTATGAGCAAATGGTTTGTTGGATTATTATATTATATTCCATATATTATTGTTTAATTTGTTGATCATTTGGAAACAATTATGTTTTTATTAATCTTAATTTTGGTTGTAATAAAAGAGTAGTTTGTAGTTTAATGTTTTTCCCCCTCAAGGGAACATGGAGGGAAGAGGATATTTCATATATATGATATATATAATTATATATATACAACTAATTACTTATATTAATTAATTATGTGCACCACATGTTATCTAAATTGCATTGGCTAATTAGGTGTCGTTTTATCCATTTCTTGTGTTGTTTTATACAGGATCCTAGGGAGAAATTGGAGGGAGATTTTGAGACAATGTCTTTCAAAAATTGGTAAGATTGAAATAAATAATTGAATTGAAAATAATTGAATATTCCTTAAATTAGTATAATATTTTTTTTTATATATATATTATCTGTCATTTTAGAATCTCATTTGATGTATCAATTACATCTTTCACGTCTTATTTAACTGAAATAAAATTAGTAGAAACAAGGTCGACCTAGCTAGCGACCGTTGTCAAGTGAATTCAAATTAGGGTTGATTGATACATACTCCAACCGCTAGATCATACTTTGCGGAATCAATTAAATTGATAATTAATAACATAATTAGTTGGTGTTTGATGCCCAACAAAAAATATTTATTGTATTACAGCTGTTCTTATAATTTGTTTAAGTTGCCACCAAATCTCACCACATATATTCTACTAGTACTGTTTTTAAGCTGACCCTGAAACATTACAGCTTGTGGCAGCTTACTAATGCACATTTTATTTATTTATTAATTAGCATAAACATATATTCCAAATTAAATTAAAACCAACAGTTGCTTGCTTTGTCTTTATCCAATAAATAATTCCATCTATTTTATAAACCCATTCTTTTCCCCTATATGATATACCTCCCTTCAAATATATCGAGAAATTTTTAAATTTTATTAATAAATAATATATATATATATATATATATATATATATATATATATATATATATATATGTAAAATAAATAAATAAAAGGGGTCTTAGGATATAGGTCCCTAGTGACAAAACTTATTTGAACTAAATGACAAGTCTAACTAAACATTTGCTTCACATCCTTTTTAAAATTCATTCCAAAAATACCCCTCCACTCAAATTCGAAATATTGATTAAGTAAATTCCAAACTGTATTTATCCTTTTATTTATTATGCATTTAATATTTTCATATTTCTATATAATATTTTTTTTCTCAGAATATCTTTTTGTCTGCCTTTTTTCCTTTATCATTTTAGCATTTTATACACTATTATAAAATTTCTGTATTTTTTTCCTTTTTTTTTTCCGTCTTAATATTGAGAATTACAAAAACAAAATGCTTTTTTTTTTTTTTTTTTTATTTCTGTTTACATATTTTTCAATTTTTCAGTAGTATACTATGGTATATTACGATATACTGTAGTATACTATAGTGTACTGATGTACTATGGTATACTACGGTGTAGTATAGTATACTACAGTGTACTATACTTTACTACCAAACCCTAGCCACCAAGCCGTCGCAAACCCTAGCCGCCAACGCAGCCGCCGCCAACCCTAGCAACCCACGCTCGCAGCCACCGCGACCATAGTCATCTACCAATTTTGGGAAAACCTAGATCTGACATTTGAACCCAAATCAAGCAAAAATATTTCAAAAAACACGAAAATCAAATCCAATTTATTAGTAAAAAATATACTTTCCATAACATCTCAACCATAATCACAACCCCCACCACGCCTCCGCCTGGCGTTGCCGCCTCCACCCGTCGCCGCCTCCACCCGACGCCGCCGCCGCTGCCGCCGCCTCCTTCCACTGCCGCCGCCGCCGTCTCCACCCGCCGTCGCTACTTCCACACTCTCTCGATCCACAGCCCGTGTTCCTGCTCTCTCCATTGCCGGCGGTGGTTGCCTTCGTGCAACTACTGAAGAATAAGAGAAAGATCGAAAGATGAGAGCAAAGAACGAGAGAGAGAAAGGGAAGATAGAAAGAACGTGTGAGAGAGAGGGAGATGGAGAGAGAGAACGTGTGAGAGAGGGAGAGAAAACAAAAAGAAGAAAAATAAATCTCAATTGCCGTGAATGTCTGTTTATATAATTTAGGGTATAAGGGCAAGATAGGGATTAAAAAAAAATTAGGGATGTGTCTCATATATTATTTAAAATTAAGGATTTAATTAAAAGATTGAATTTGAATTTGTCATTTAGTTCAAATTAGGTTTCCTTTGAGGGGCTCATGGCATATTAACCCTAAATAAAATCTTTACACATTCATAGTAGAATAGAATCCAATAAAATTCATTGACTATGAGTCAAAGAATATTAATTATTCAAATTTAGTGGCTATTTGTATCAAACTCCATTTATAGTTTTCACATGGTGTATCCTCAAAATTTAAGTACATTGATTTTATGATGGTCTTTAATTAATTTTCTCATGGCAGCTGTCATATTTATTCCTCTCGTTTCATTCATTTATGATTTATGGCTTGTGAGTAAAAAATTTCTTAATATGATTGAGCAAATTAGTTCTTTGCTAATAAAAATTGTCTATACACTCGACTCGAAAACTATTGTGCTTTACGACCTTTGTCCTGATCCAACGACTTTAGAACAACCCCGACGAGTCACCTACTGTTTCTAGCAGTTTAGCCGGGAGCTCACCATCGAACACGTTGGAATTACGAAGAACTTCCCGTAATCTCGGTACTGGACTCGAAGATTCCCAAAATGGATCTTTCGACTGACCCATCGACTTTGGGGCAGCATCATCGGTATCGAAACGTAAAACACCCAATTTGTTATAACTGATGAGAAATCAAATCTCAATAGACACTAGCACATGTAGATACATTGAATTTTAGTTAGACGAAAAAACAAAACACATGAAAAATGAGCAATTATATCCATTATGGGATAAGGAGCTAACCCTAAAATCCAAAGGACATTATAATTTATTTCCCCTTTTGCCCCTCATCTCACGTGACAACTTCAATTTCATCCAATCGATGTATATGATGTGTCGATGTTATATTCTTATCTCTTTTCTTTAAGATTGGCCGATTTATCAGATCTTGGTTTGTAGTTGTTTTTGTGTTTCTTCAAGACATTGAGTGGGACTCTCTCTACTATTTTTGAAAGAATATTTGTTTTTAATTATTTGAATATTTATAGATTGCGAAGGGATTCGTTTTTACTCGAGGACACCTGTTGGAAATTTTATGTCATTTTGCAATTTCTAAAAAGTTACTTATAAACGTATTTGAATAGTAAAGTTTTATGATTTAATGATCATTTGCAAATTAATAGTTGATAGTAGAATTTATTTCGAATATGTTTGTATGACAATGTATAAAAATAATTTATTAAGTAAAACTTATATATGTTTATATAACATATTTATAAATATACTTCTATACTTTTATATTTACACGTTTCTTCAAGTACCCGTATCCTATTTTTGGGACATGTTGTTTCTCTGTCTTCTTTTTCCCCTTTTTTTTTTTTTTTTTATGTTTCTGTATCCGTGCTATATAGGTGTTGAGGGGTGATTTTATTATTCTTGAATGTTGGGCTTAATTAATATATTATCAATTTCTTGGAAGGAGAACTTTATACTATAATGATGGCCCATTTTTTTTCTTTTATATTAGTATTACTATTATTATATTATTTATATAATTTCCTTTTTCTTACGTGGCTGCATAGTATTGTGGATCAGAGAAGAACATTTAAAGCCCAAGACTAAACTAATAATATTTATGCAAAGTAGAAGCCCAATAGATACGGCCCAATAATTAATATTTTGCAAAGTAGAAGCCCAATAGACACGGCCCAATAAATATTGCTAATATTAAGTATTCTGAAATGATTTACGCGGCAGTAAAATTACGAATGTCGTTCACAATACATTTTCTTTCTCTCTCTAAAAACTCCCCAATTCACTCAAACCCCAAAACCACAAAAAAAACCCCAAATTTCACAAAAATCCTAAATCCTTCTCACAATCCTTCCAAATCCGAAAATCTCCTCAATTTGAAAGGTAATTACTCATCTAAACTAGTTATATATATTGAATTTGTTGTTAATTATATGAAAATCGAAGAAAAATCGCGATTTGGGGGTCAATTTTGAATAAAAACTGCGCATCTTCCACGCCCAAAATGGGAGTGTGAAAGCAGTTTTCACGCCTAAAACAGGCGTGGAAACTGCTTTCACACGCCTGTTTTGGGCGCGGAAAATTGGTTTGGGCGTTCGGTCCGGACGCCGGTTCTGGACCGGTCGTCCGGTTCAATTTTTTTTTTTATCCCTGTATAAATGACATGATATAATATATTTAAATAATTATCAGTTAATGAACTTGCTCTGGCCTAGTTGGTCAAGCATCTCGTTTTTTCGCAATAGACCCGTGATCGAGTCTTTCCTGCAGCGTATAATTATTACTTTTTTGCGAAGTATAACGAAGTGTATAAATACAATTCAATAATAATTTATTGTCAAAATGGCTCTAGCCTTGTTGGTTAGGTAAGCCTGTGTTTTTAAAATAATGTCCCGTGTTCGAATCCTTGTGGCAACATAAATATGTAATTTTTTTTATTAAATCTCAGTCACAGAGCGCGCCCAAACCGGGCGCCGAAAGCTGTGTTAGGCGCCCAAATCGGGCGCGGATAACACTTTTACGCGCCCAAACCGGGCGTGAATCGGACTTTTTAGCTCCCAGTTTGGTCGTGGGTCTTGTTTTCGCGATTTAAAGAACAAAAACGAACAAATTTTACCTCGTTGGATTCCGTATCTCGATCCTCATTCGATGCACTCATTTTTTTTTTCAAATGGCTACAATAACATGTGTTTTGGAATGATTTCTAATATAAAAGCTAAAATTGTAGAGAGAGAAAGAAAGTAGAGAGTGGATTTTTTTAAACCCGCATTCGTAATTTTGCTACCGCGAATATCACCTCCCTTAAGTATTAACTAGTTGAAATTGTAATTTATATATAGCCAAGTTTTGTAGACGAGGTAGACCTAAGAAGTGTCGGCACGAAAATCGAACTCGATTCGTTAGATCCGATGGAACTCGATTTGTAATGTAATTTCCAACTTTTTTTGGAACGGAATTGGTTTTTCCAAATGTGATAATTCCGAACCGTCCGATTTCTACTGTAGATGAAGTAGATAACGTGTGTAAAAATTGATCCATTAAGTTAAATTTGGGCCTTTTTGTATTCGAATTATTTGGACGATTGGGCTAGAGCCCAACAAACTGCAAAAATAATTAAAAACATTTTAAAATGAAATTAGCTTTATTAATTAAGAACAGCCAATTCTTTCTTTATTATATACGATCCCATGACCCTTTTCATCCTTTGCACTAACCCTAATTTCCCATATTACACCATATTAATTAGTTAATTACCACAATAATTTCCAATTAGTTATTTCAACAAGAAAAAAATTAAAAAAATACAGTTCTTTAGTTGGTTCTATGTACAATAACAATCATTTTTCTATAACCTAGTACAAAAATTTTCAACACGAGTTACAATATACACGTATATAACTATTACAACCGATCAAGATCGTCGACGAAATCAATTCCCGATTCTACGGATCATTTAATTTTCCAACTCTCAACACACACAATGATGTGATCGTCTCAACTTAACACGATCTACTTAATCGACACGTGCTTAGCTTTTTATGTCCAAAATTGAAATATCTTCAAGTTTGAATGACATATTTAATATTTTCAACAATAATTACATAAGTATATTATATTACTTACCCCCAAAATAAAAATAAATAAATTTTTTGTTACTTTTAGTTGCAAATTACTATTAAGCCCCTAAACACCTTCACCGAGAAAGGTCAAATAGCTTCGCTCTCTCTCTCTCTCTCTCTCTCTCTCTCTCTGCGTATATAAACGAACCACACACTGTCTCTATATCCAGCCCCATAATAATATTAATATATATATCTCTCTCCCTCTCTCTCACACACAAAAAACACACACAGTACCATAAAACTCTCTCCTCTTTCTCTCTCTACTTTTCTTCTTCTGGAGATACGGAAACACTCAGCAATAATCTTCATCAAAATACAACACACACACATACACATTTTTATATACACATACGTGTATGTATATACGTACAAATTATGCCTACACACACAGCACACGTTATTTTCCGCGCAGCTGAGATAAGTTGTCTTCTGCTCGTTCATTCATTCATTGAAACGGGACCAAAATGATCTCTTGGTGCGCAAATTGCCGAACTTTCGTATGTTGTTTTGCTGGATTTTCGCCCCTTTCGTATGATTCAAGTATTCGGCCGTTGGGATTTTCGTTGTTTTTTGATGATTGGATAAATGGGAGGTGATCTCTGTACAGGTGTGTGTTTAGGTGTTAATTACTTATCTTAATCACTGTTTGGCTGTGTTGGATGGATCTAATTATCAATTTGTTAATGTAATTGAGTTTAGTGGGTTTGGTAATTGTTTTTTTTTTCTTTTCCCCGCAGGCTGTTGGATCACAACCTGCCTCCGATTGGAGTGAATAAAACGTTAATTTTTTTTTTTTTTTCGAAAATTAGGGATGTAATAAAAAGAACTCAACAATAATAAAGGAATTGGGATGAAGAGGTCTAGAGATGATGTGTTTGTGAGTTCTCAACCGAAACGCCCTGCCATTTCTCCTCGCGTTGAACCGTAAGTTTACTTCTTGGTGCCTTTAATTTTTTAATTTTTTTTAATTTCAAGTTTTTAACTAATTTGCATTTGGGTTATCTGCTGTGATTTGGGGTTTGATAATTGATATTGTGGAGTATGTATCTTCTTTAATTGCAAAATTAACATTCTAATTTATTCGATTTGCATGTTTTCTGCTGTCATATTCTTTGAGGATATAGTGCTTTTCGGTTCTGCTTTTTACATGCTTCCTGTTCTGAGTTTCTTTCGTATTTCCAGTCGTGTATTGCCTGCCGGAACAACATGAGTAAGGTTTTCATGGATTATTCTTGTTCTTTTGAGGTTGATTGTCTGCTATTAGATCATCTTTGATATGAAGGAATTGAAGTAATTCTGTTCAATGCTGGTTTTCTTGTTACTATGTAGCAAATTATGTGGCTTTTGTTGATGTGAAATTGGCATGCTGGGGACGATAACGTTTGCATGTTTTTCTCCTTATTGAATAACAATTATATCAAATACGCATATTGTGCGGCAATCAAGATCTGGGCAGGTCCAGATGTCAACTGCAAGCAGTGCGCAGAGGCTGACAACAACTGATGCCTTGACATATCTCAAAACGGTGAAGGAAATTTTTCAAGACAAAAGGGATAAATATGACGAATTTCTTGACGTCATGAAAGATTTCAAGGGTCAAAGGTACAACAAGTCTGTTCATTTTCCCGTTTTAAGTTGCAGTTTTCCGTCTTATAGTTGACTCCGCTATCTTGATTCATTTGTGAATTCTGCTTGCTTGGTTGTTTACAGAATCGATACAACTGGTGTTATATTGAGAGTGAAGGAGTTATTTAAAGGTAACCGAGACCTGATTTTGGGTTTCAATACCTTTTTGCCAAAGGGATACGAAATCACCCTCCAACCGGAGGATGAACCATTCCTTAAAAAGAAGCCTGTAGAGTTTGAAGAGGCCATCAGTTTTGTAAACAAAATCAAGGTGCAACTGCTAAATCATCATTCCACTACAGTGCACTGTTCGATACTTGTCCATTGGAATTTATTCAATAAACCACTTCAAAACTAATTGCAGACTAGATTTCAAGGCGACGATCATGTATACAAAGCTTTCCTGGATATTTTGAACATGTACAGAAAAGATAACAAGTCAATAACAGAGGTCTATCAGGAGGTATGCTGTAATGATTGCATTTTCTTGAATATTTATCCCAAACAGAATCCAACCGTCATGACTAAGTCAATATCTGTTTGTAGGTTTCAGTTCTCTTTCAGGACCATGCCGACCTACTTGTAGAGTTCACTCATTTTTTACCTTGTACTTCGGGCTCTGCCTCTGTCCAGTATGTGCAGCCTGGTAGGAATCAGATCCTACGTGGAGATGATAGAGGCTCCCCGATAACCTCAACAAGGCCCATTCATGTTGAAAAGGTAGTTTATCTGTATTGATATTGTGGTTTGTGGTATGTTTCCTTATCGTAATATATTTGGTTCTGCTTACTTGTCCCAGAAGCCTGCTGTTCCATATGCTGTTTGTGACCGCTACATTAATCGTCCTGATTCAGAGCAGTGCAATTATGGCGAGAAAGAAAAGGAGAAGACAGAAGACATAGATAAAAATGAGCGGGAACACGATGATAGCTACAAGAGAAAATCCGCTCCTCGAGATGATTCTGTGTCCGACCAGTTTCATCGAGGTAGGAAAGATGCTGAGAGCATCGTACATAACCTCGAAATCACCCGCATGCGATGCTTTATGTTCCTTTGTTACTCTTACGTCTAGTATTAACTGATTGAATATTTATCTCATTCTTGCCTTTTACTATAGATACATTTTACCATCAGTTAATCATTGTGACCATTTTCCTTCCCCTGTTTTCCTTTTATAATCTGCTATATGCTAGTCAGTTTTCTCCAATCACCTGTTTAGGATAGGCCACAAAATATAACCATGATTGATTAATTGAAGATCAAGAAATGAAATATCTGTTATGTGATTCTCTTGCAGAATGATAGATGTGTATGGGCTGTAGGTTACAGGATTAGCTCCGAGGGTGAAATCCGTACGAGGTATTGAAATCAATTATTTTTTCCCAGGGATACAGGACCCAGAGTCAGCTTTTACCGAGAAAGTGAAGGAACGATTACAGGATCTTGAAGACCACGAAAAAATTTCAGATTGCATTCGTTCCTATAAGAACAAGTTTGTCACAGCAGCTCAATTTAGAATGCTGGTGATCTTTCTCTCCATTTAGCTCTGACTCTAATTTTTTCTTCTTTTTTTTGGCTCCAATTTATGCATGTTCTCTGTTTATATGAAATTATAGTGCTTAACACTTAAGTAATGCTTCATCATTTGTTGCTGCAGTTTTCTATTTCATACAGTTGCTTTTGAGATATATCAATAACATTTTGTTTTCTACCAGTCGACTTTCAAAATATAAGCAGTGCATATCCCTGAAAAATTAGTGTGCTTTCTGTTTGAAATTAAAGGTATCTATGATCCAGCATCTTACATGTGCATTTAACAATATGGGTCTGTGAAGTAAACTTCTACGAGTCGCACTCCTTAAAAACCAATGGGAGGAAGGATTTTCAGCACCTTTCTTTTAAATATGTGGAATTTTTTATCTTGGCTGTTCCGTGGGATTCCATATTGAAAGATATGGGGAAAGTTGAATAGCCAAGTTATTCTTAGTATATTAACTGATAAATAAGTATATAAAGCAGAAGTTTTTTATATGCTGTTCTCATTAATAATATTAAAGTTTCCATACTTGTTGATATTGAAATGTGCTAAATGCAAAATTAAGTATGTTTACCTCTAGCAAACACTAATATGAAAAAATGAAATTTGACAGTGGTATCTCAAACATCGGCTAAGTACCCATATTTATCCTACGAATATTTTTCTGAAAGTTTATTGAGCTAGTATTCTGATGTTTCTGCAATGGGCATATTGGCTTCTGCAATGCTCAACATGTACTAAAACGTGTATGCCGTTGGAAGTAACATCACTGTATTCCTCTTTCTTTACAGTGAAGGTTATATAATGTTTCCTTTTGTTGCTGGATGGTTATTGTCACATATATCTAATGATTAGTACTGATGAAAAAACCTGAAAAAAATATAGTACTGGAGTAACAAGTTACGTTTCAAAACTGGATTAATTTCTTGTGCATAGGTCCAGCTAGGATCCCTTTCTTGTTGAATCAAGACAAGATTTAAAAGAAATACTAGGCAGTAGTCATTTTGCTATATTACCTCTATGATATCCATAGTAGGGCCTCTAATCTGTGCAGATATTTTTATCGTGTCAGGTAGCTAGTTTAATTGGAGCACATCCAGACCTTATGGAGGCATGTGAAGCTTTCATATCTTACATCGAGAAGACTGGTAATGAAATTTGATTGTAGTTTGTTATTATACTTTTACTTTGCCCTATGTATTTGTTTACCTGTGCTGTTTGTTGCTCAATTTTTTTAATATATTTTGTAGTCTGGAATTTTTATCTCCATCGTTTTACGGGAATATACTATCTTTCATGTTGATGGTTATTTGTTATGCTTTTCTGAACTAAATACTAAGTCCTAGAAAGAAAGATTTGTTGGATAATTTGGATTCATTTATCTGCCTTAAGAAAGACGAATGATATGTTTGTAACCAATCTATCTCGTTACAGAAAGCTTGCGGAACAATAAACAGGGTTTCAGATCTTTAAAGATGGATGGAGATGATCATGAAAGGGAAGACAGAGAGAAAAATGGAGACCATAATAACAGAGAAAGGGATAGACATGAAAGAGGTCTTGCCTTTAACACTAAAGATGTCCTAGGACAGAGGATGTCTTCGTATCCAAGCAAAGAGAAGTTTATGGCAAAACCCATTCAAGAACTCGATCTCTCTAACTGTGAAAGCTGCACTCCGAGTTATAGACTTCTTCCACACAATGTAGGTTTACTTTTTTTCATTTTCACAGCTGAGTATTCCAGATATCATACTCACCCATTGACATTTTCGTAAATCAGTACCCAATCCCATCAGCAAGCTGTAGAACAGAGATGGGTGCTGAAGTTTTGAATGATCGTTGGGTATCCGTGACCTCAGGAAGTGAGGATTACTCCTTCAAACACATGCGTAAAAATCAATATGAAGAAAGCTTGTTTCGGTGTGAGGACGACAGGTAAAAAGTCAGAAACTCTCTCAAGAGTTCTCCTGTAATGTTTCACCTCCTGTTGAATGTAGTTCATTGAACTTTTGATCTCTCTAACTTGTGTATGTTGTTTCCACGTATGGTATACACCACTTTGTGATTTGATGACTAAACATCTTTGCCAAAAATGTATTGTCCTACGTGGAATGTCAATAGGTTGCTAAGAAACAGTGTTCAGTGTTTCACTTCTTACCTTTCCATTGTCTTCAAATACAAGATTAAATGGGGTTCTGCTGTATTTTCGTGTATTGAATTTGGCAATTGGTGATTTGGTTATGCTTCCAGGTTTGAACTTGACATGTTGTTGGAATCTGTAAACGCAACAGCCAAGCGTGTTGAAGAAATTTTAGACCGAATGAATGCTCATACAAATAACAAAGACAGTTCATTTTGTATTGAAGATCATCTGACAGGTGTAGTGAGTGTCTGATGATTTATCATTGTATATGTTATGATGTCAAGTTAATAGTCTTTTCTCTGTTTTCCAGCTCTTAACCTTCGGTGTATTGAACGGTTATATGGTGACCATGGGCTTGATGTAATGGATGTATTGAGGAAGAATGCACCTCTTTCCCTGCCAGTTATTTTGACCCGGTTGAAGCAGAAACAGGAAGAATGGGCAAGGTGCCGTGCTGATTTCAATAAAGTTTGGGCGGATATATATGCTAAGAACTACCACAAATCACTCGATCACAGGAGCTTCTATTTTAAGCAGCAGGATACAAAGAACTTGAGCACTAAAGGTAATTCGGTTGATATTGCCTGACTTGGTTCCTACATTACAACCTACGTTTTTCCATTCTAGAACTTCATTTGAATGATTAGTATTATATAATCACAATGCTCTCAAATTAGAATCTACGAGATTGCTAAACTTTAAAGATTGTCCTTCCAGTGTTTTGTAGTCTATGCATGGCATAAAAAATTCTAAAACCTTTTCTTGCAATATAACATATGCTGCTTTCTTCGTGCAAATTTGGAATGGCCTCTTTCTTTGAGTGTTCCAGAATTTTCTGTATCTTTATAAGAACTTGTTGTGTTTTGGTGTTGGGATGTGTATGCTAGTGGTGCTTGATTTTATGTTCAATTTTGTTTCTAGCTTGTACTCTGTGGGTCTTTGGTAATTCGTGGAATTTGTTTTCCGAAGCTGTAAACTTGGTCAAACCTACTTTTTAATGGATTATCCTTTGTGCTACCTGACTTTAAGTACTGATTGTTGGTGAAAGTCATCCTAAAGTCTTGGGAATGCGTTAATAGATGTTGGCCTACTCATGCGAATATCTTGTCGAATAATGCACGCCCAGTGAAATTGGTTGCAATGCAAGCCTAGGTATTATTTTGTACGTGAACTCTGATTTCCGCAAAACTCGACAATATTTAACTCATTCTATTATATAGTTGCTTTGACAAAGCCAATGTGATGTTTTCTTTTCCTTTCAATATCAGTTTACCATAACTTTCAAGAAGAGTTTATGAATCACATAGAAAATACGAGAAGTTTTTTTCTTATAAATGAGCATATGCTGCTTTAAAAAATTAGTGACATCTTATGCAGATTTTCTTTAATGCATGTTTTTTTTGTAATAACTTTAGGGATGGTCTCCGTTCTTGGTGCTTTTGACTTGGGAAATTTTCTGTATCTTTGACCAACTTTTAATTTTTAGGGTTATGATATGTAAAATAATATTGTCGTTTCTGGCATCTTTTGTGTATATTTAGTTTCCAATTTGTGTTTTTGGGTGGTTCTCCGATAGCTTTATACGTGTTAAGACCCACTTTTTACTGTTTTACCCCTAATGCTAGTAGAGTTTTACTGTTTTAGCTGGTAAAATTTTGTTTATGTAGAGGGTATTTTTACTTTGGTGTGATTCATTACACAATGACAGTCTCACTCGACCTGCTTTTTATTATTTTGCCTTTGTCCTTTACATATTAATTATATTTCACCCGTTTTGCTTGCTTTTACACGCTATAATTATTTGTCGCTTTCAGAATTTTTGTCATTTAAGTTTCTCCATCGGTCTTAGTTTTCTTCGCCTGCTTTTTCTTCTTCCTCTTACACCATTTCCTCCTCTACCTTGGTTCTCATTCCTTGATTTCACTAGTTCTCCATTTCTTATTATCAATGGCGGTTCTAGACTCCCTTGACGTTGATTTCTCAGAGTCGATTATCTCTGGTACATTAAGTTTCTTCAGTTTTCTTCGTTCAATTGTTCCGCTGTTTGTTTTCACCCCTGAATTCGTAGCAACTTACCTTATGTGTTTTGTCTTAGATCGATTTCCTTTTAAAGTTTATTAATTGAGAATTAATTTGGAAATTTAACCAAGAATCGTTCATTCATACCGTTCAATTTTATTCCTGAATTGTTGTTTCCTCATTTTCCTTTATATGGGTTTGAAACATCTAGATCTATGCTGTTGTTGCTATCTGATGATTAAATGTGATTTTCTTGACTTTTAAGGAGGAAGTGCTATTATAAATTATGTTAAAAAGGTCCATCTTCATCAGAAAAATATATTGTTTTGGCTATTAATTGTTGTGGTTTGCAGTGACTGTATTGAATAAAAGTTTCCGTCAATAATATGTCATAAATTTCCATCACATAACTGGGATGAAACGGAAGGGCTTTGTAAACTGTAATAAATGATGCATACCTTTTTATTTTATTTTCTTCTTTTTGCTCACTTTTCAAACACTGCGTCAAGTGCCAAAAGGAGTTTCCTACTAGATAGAGGAAATAAAAGAACGGAAATATACAATAAGTGTGTGGCCGAATACTCGGCTTCTTATATAAGGATATGGATTAGATTTGCATTTATTTTTTTAACATGCAAATCACAATCTAAAGACTTCTTAGGCATGATGATTCACATTTTTTATGTAAATGTGACTAATTGATGAAAGAATATTAACTCCTGATATTTTGATAGTCCCGATTTTAACTTGTATTCAAACTGTTTTTTAATATCTGGATGCTGTTGGCGTTATTTGCTACTGACTTGCTTGAAAACTTAAAATGGTTATTGATTTATGGGGGATAACTTCTTGTCCCATGGAAAGGAAGAGCTTCGTGTTAATTCATTTTTTCCGTGTTAGACTGATGCATCTGCATGAAATTTCGCATTATTTAGTGCTAATTAAAGTAGCTATATTATTTGATCCCAACAGTTGAATTTTGACAGTTTGAGAACAGTCTGTCTTATTATTGAATTTTGAGAGTTTGAGAACAGTCTGTCTTATTACTGCAATTACTTTAGTTTTCCGTATAATGTGTAGAAAAAAGAAAGATTTTCCTTGCAATTTATTTTCTTTATGACCTGTTTCATTCAGCATTGCTGGTCGAGATCAAAGACATCTGCGAGAAGCATCAGAGTGAAAACGACGTGTTCCTCTCTATTGGTGCTGGATATAAGCAGCCCATTGTGCCTCATATGAGATTTGAATATCCTGACCCAGAGATCCAACAAGACCTGTACAAGCTCATGAAATATTCTTGCGAAGAAGTTTGTACACCTGATCAACGTGACAAAGTCATGAAGATTTGGACAACTTTCCTTGAGCCAGTGCTTGGTGTTCCTTTCCGCCATACCAAAGCAGTGGCCAAAGGAGATGCTGTTAAGGCTAGCAATCATATAGCTGCAAGTTCGAGCGCAATTGGTGAAGAGAATAGTAGTCCTGTGGGCGAGGCTGCTTTACCTGCCGAAAATGGAGACGAACAAAAAATGCTGACGTCACATGGTAACAATGGGGTTAATAACGATGCTCCCAACAATGGACTGATGCAGACTGATACCAATATGATGGCTGCTATGTCATTGACTGTCAAACAAGGTGAGGAAGGTACTTCAATTGGTGCAGGAGAAAAGAACTGTGCTGGTAATTTTACAAAACATATATTATGTATCTATATCTGGCCCTTCTTTCTGATTTTACAATTTATGGGGCCGATTTCTCCTCTTTCAGGGCCTGAATATGCCAGTGCTGATTGTGGGATAGAGACGATGCCTGGTCAGGAATCAAAGGTAAGTTCAACTATTTGGATAACACTGTCTTTGAATTTCATTGGCTCAGAAAAACTAAGCTTAAAACTTCAAAGCTTTTGGGTTCTTTGCCTATACGCACCTTTGCCTTTACCAGCAACAGTTATCCAGTTCTGTATTGTGGCCTAATTCTGAATATATTCTCGCTAATCTTTAATTTTTTTTTCTTTTCTTTCCTGTAATCCGTTTTGATTCTACAGGATGGTGTTATTGCAAAACCAACTTCATCTTCAATTGGCATGTTGCCGAAAGAGGGGAAATATCAGAAATCCCATGAAGAAACTGATGCTTGCACTAAAGGTGAACGAGAAGAGGGTGAGTTGTCTCCTAATAGAAATCTTGAAGAGATTGCAGCATTGGGAAATAGCGCTACCAAGGCAGAGCAGAGTCCTCGTGCAAGTGATCCAAGCACCAAGGCAATTAAAGGTGAAGAAATGTGCATTGAGGAGGCAGGAGTAGAGACTGATGCGAATGCTGATGATGAAGTCGAGGAAAGTGCTCACGGCTCATCAGAGAGTGAAAATGCTTCTGAAAATGGTGATGCTTCTGCAAGTGAGTCTGCTAATGGAGAAGAATGTTCTCCTGTAGAGCCTGATGATGAGAACGACGTCAAGGCTGAGGAGAGTGAAGGAGAGGCGAATGATGTGGCGGATGTCAATGAAACTGAAGGAGCAATGCCGTTTTCCGACCGTGTTCTACTGTCGGCAAAGCCTCTTACATTGAAAATCCCGAAGGCGTTACAGGAAAAAGAGACAAATACTCGGATCTTTTATGGAAATGATTCCTTCTACTTGCTTTTCAGGCTTCACAAGGTAAATAAGTTGTATCCGTGGTTGATGTTAACTTGCAGGATATGCTTTTACTTCTAAGTGGATTTCTTGGCTTTTGTACGATCAATGAAGCTATATTTCCTGACTTACTAAACCTCGTTTGACAGATGTTGTACGAAAGAATGCAGACTGCCAAGTTGCATTCTTCATCTCCTGAAAATAAATGGAGGATGCTGAATGATGCAAATCCAACAGACACATATGATAGGTAGTTTATATAGATACTCTGGTTAATATTCCTTTTTTCCGTGGGATTGAAGCTCATATAAACACTATCGGTAAACTTGAACTCTGATTTGGAACAGATTTAAGGATGCACTGCACAGTTTGCTGAATGGATCCTCTGATAGTGCTAAATTTGAGGATGAGTGCCGAGCCGTTGTTGGTGCTCAATCTTACATCCTCTTTACATTAGACAAGCTGATACATAAACTTGTGAAACAGGTTATTTAAGAATTTTTTTTTGCGGAGTACTTGTTATTGTTTCGGCATTTTGTGACCAAATACTCTTTCCTGTTATTTTCTACAGTTACAAACAATTGCAGCAGAGGAGATAGACAACAAACTCATTCAACTCTATGAATATGAAAGATCAAGAAACCCTAAAACATTTTCTGATGCAGTTTACCGTCTGAATGCTCGCTTTCTTCTTCCGGAAGATAACTTGTATCGAATAGAATATGTAGGTGTTCTTGCTTTCACTTTATGTTTTTCGTTATTTGAAGCTAAGTGAAGATTATCATTCTGTTGTACATGTATGCTAAAAGTACGTAGTTGTCAGCCAGCCTAATATACTAATAATCTAATATGAACTGTTGCAGCTGCCTTCTCCAATGAGTTTGACCTTACAGCTGATGAGAAATGATCTAGACAAACCCGAACCAGCTGCCGTCTCCGTGGACCCCACATTTGCAGCTTATTTGAACGATGACCTCCTCTCAGTTCAGCCTGAACGATACCAAAGACCCGGGGTATTCTTGAAGAGGTATGTTGTGACAAAGAAAGTTACGTTGAATTTCTCAAAGTCCTCCTCAAACTTATGTTAACTCCTGTCTTAATTTGCAGAAACAAGATCAAATTTTCAAAAGGAGATGAACTTAGTGATACTACGGAAGCCATGGAAGGACTTATAATTCATAATGGTGTGGAAATGAGATTGAATAGCCAGACTATGAAGGTAATAACTTCTGCTAAACTTCATATTTCTTCCATTTTTTTAATTATTAAGTATCTTTTAGTAACCTTTTTTTCTCTTTGTATGTCTATTAGATTGGTTACGTTTTAGACACTGAGGACTTCTTGTATCGGACACGAAGAAGAAGGAAGGAGTTGTATCACAAGAAACCCCGCAATGATTCTTCCGTCGGAACTTCCAATGGAACTTCCGATGGCTCCTCCCAGAGAGTCAAACGTCGCAAGTTGATTTTGGGTATGGAGTGAAATGTTCGTCAAGGTAATGTTTGCTTAGTCAAAGTCAAAGATAAACCACTCATTAACATGACAAGATATTTCTTGGTGATGAATCAAACTTTTTTTCGATTTGCAGGCGGAGAAAATTGGAGTAATGGGGTGATCTTCTCGTCAAATGGCAATATGATGCAGTGTTTTTCTTTCGAGTCTAATAAAGGTGATGAAAGGAGAGAATTTAGTTTTAGACTTAATGGTGTCTCGACTTTGAGTTATTTTATGTCGTAAAAAGATTGAGAACTAATGTTCCATTCGTTCGCTCTAATTAAGACCGAGTTTATTTTAATGTAGTTTATGCACTCTTAGCATGTTTTCTGTGGCATCTGCATTTTATGAGGCTAGCTTGTCTAACTCCCATATGATTGCCTGATAATACTTTTCTGGTAAATTATAGTTTTTACCCCTCAAGTTTGCATCGATTTCACATTTGGTCCTCCATGTTATTAAAAAAATACATTTGGTCCCTCATGTTTCAAAAGGTCAACACTTTTGGTCATTTCCGTGATTTTTTCGTTAGTACTAACAGAATCAAGTGTGTGCTTATCACTGACGGACTAATGGTAAATAGACGAATATGATCAAAAGTGTTAAATTTTTGAAACATGAGGGATCAAATGTCTTTTTTATGAACATGGAAAGACTAAATGTGTAATCCGTGCAAACTTGTGCGATGAAAATGATAATTTTCTCATACTTTTCCAATAGATCCAAAGTGGATTCACATGGATCTAGTTTTTAAAAGTTGTCAACTTGGTCTGGTCCGGTTTATTTCTAATTAGATTTAGTGTAAATCAAATCCATGTGAATCAAACCAATTATGATCGAATCCATGTAACCGGATCCAAATTGCAGTCCCTATATGTACTTCTATTACTAAGTCAAAATATAAATTAATTACGAGTAAATAAGTTAGATATGATTGATGTCACAATCACCATCACTCTATATATACTCTTCAGTCTCCCTAACATCATTTTAATACCATTCCTTTTCTTATTCAAGAAAATTTATGTTCTTCAATTTTTTCTTTGATCAAAGTTTGTAGTTTTGAAGGTTTGAAATTATATAAATTTTTTTGAGTACTTTTTTTGTACAATATAGTTTAAATGCTATTTTAATCAATTAAATAATTTACTAAAATTACACGACTCACGTGCAACTGAGCACATCATTTGTGTCGATAAATTATACGAATCAATTAAATAATTTACCAGATAATCTGTCACCGTCAAAATTTTCATCTAACTAACTCGCTTATCGGGGGACGGTCCATAACGCTGGATGCTTTCACTGCATTGCTTTTCAGCACTGGGTCAATATCAGGCAACTTAGGCACCTGTAATCAGTAGTTAATATCAACCTAATGTCAGCAAAATTTAGAGAGGAAATAAATAACACGTAAATATAACGAATATACAGTTGACGAATTCTTGATGGTACAATGAGAAACATTAAGGATATAGAATGCATGGATTCATAAGAATGTGTGTACCTGTGCTAACAGATCAATTGTTCGTCGTAAAAGACGAGCTAAATCTCCTTCGTCCATGGCGCAGTCCATCATAATCTCTCTCCAAGTTAGACCAGAAGCCCATGCTTCAACCATGCCAGAGAATTGTCTATCCAAGCAGCAAGGTATCTACAAACCATGACCATCCTCATTTTAGTTCCAATTACGCAAAATGATTATATATATATATATATATATATATATATATATATATATATATATATATATATATATATATATATATATATATATATATATATATATATATATTCCATGCAGTCAAACAAGATTCACCTTCACCCCGTGCTTTTCCTGGAGTTCAAAAAATGAGCTCCTTTGGTCATCCAACAAGGTGATTACATTCATAACGGTGGTCGAAGCTTCATATATATAGCTGCAAAAATAATGATAATAATTTGAAAGGAAAAAAGGAAAAATGCTTTATTACTTGCCTGAATAGGCGCTATAAAATAATTTTTTACAGAATAAATAAGTGATGTACCTATTATTTTTCCATGGTCGAACTTTGATTCCTTCAGAAACTAGACCTCCAAGAACAGCAGCAAGCTGCGGAGGTTTCAAATCGAGGAGAACTTTATTTCGAAGAACCATTGCTAACCAGAGTTCGTTCTCTCCTCGAATGGCAGCAGCAGTTTCACCCAGTGGATATATAATTTGTGAGTTGATATCCAATGCCCTAATTTCATGTATGACATTACTGATCTGAAACAAAAAAGATAGTTATTTCTAAAAGATGGAGAATTTATCCACTTAACCTAAACCACTCAGCCAAATCTTATAAGAGTGTGTTTTGAGTCCATAATTACCTGCAGAAACTCCTTCCAGCCTGATGGTTCAATCTGCTCTATACGAGTAACTAAACGCCGTGATCTGGCTTTCAGTCTCCGTATCTTCTCCTCTGTGAACTTTGCAATGTCTAGAATCTTCTTATATTCTCTGAATCCTTCTGTGCGTGATATCTTTTTCTTCAGACGTGCAACTTTGTTTCTTTGGTCCTTGTAGCTTTCCACAGCATTTTGGTATGTTTCCGAGAACTGTAAAGCCTAATAACAGAATAGAGAGAGTGAGAGAGAGAGAACGAGTTATCACTTATTTGATGCTTGTAATAGTGTTTTGATACCTCTTTAAACAAAAACATCACATGTTAAGCAACACCTGGATAGGAAAATTGTTGTTTAATGGATTACCTCATCTTCTTCAGAAAGACTACTCAAGACTGGCACATTTAAACTCCAAGACCATGTCTCAAGAGATCCGTCCATGCACCAAAGACCACCGAGTTCTGATTCTGCAACTTTTTCCCATTGCATATCTACCTTATCAAGCAGAGTTGTCATTATTTCACGAGGCAAAGCATCACCAATTACCAAGGCAGCGTCGGGAAAGCCAGTTTTATAGACTGTTTTGATCCACTTCTCTGTAAAAATGTACCAAGAGTTATCTGAACCGAGAGCCACGTGGTAAGATGGTCCAGCAGTATGGTCAAACTTAGCATCACTTGAAATTTTTTCCATATTTACTGCAAACGAATCAGATTCATTAACCTGCAAAGTTAGTTGAAATGTATTAGGTAAAGAAATCTCAAAACAGAAGCAAATTTGAGTTAAAAAAAAACATGCAAGCAGCATACATTATAACTTCAAATCCTGTTTCTCTAACCAGGAGCACCATATCATATGTATGCTTCAATCAAAAGACAACGCTACATAGTTGAACAAATTTAACAAAGTGATAGAAAACTTGATCTCTTGAACTTAATAGTATCCACCAGTGTGAAAATACTAAAGCTGACCCTAAAAGTGGATATAGCATATCATAAAGAAGCAGGTAGAGGAAATGCCTTCTAGTGGTTTTAATGAGAATTAAGAATTTCCCTAAGTAAACAAGAAGGGAGAGGAAAAGTTGACCAAGTCAAGCTTACCATATTTTTTACTTTTGAAGTCTTCAAAGAGTCAACGTTCCCCAGATAAACAGCAGGGATTTGATGTTGAACACCATCCGAATCAGTATGCTGCAGACACATAAATGGTAAATGCCCATTTCCAAGCTCCTCTAGTAAAGGCTTCAAAGAAAAAACTCTCTCGAGTTCAATCTTTCTCCGAAGTTCAGTCCGAGTACGCTTTTCTGCCTGAGCAAGAAATACAGGATAATTTCACTTAGACCATGCAGATAAGGGCATATCCGCAAATGTCTTATTCTTAGTTAAAACCATAACGCAGCATCATAATCACAGGAAGAATAATGAGCGAGTGAACTACCCTTAATTCTTCCTGAAGATCAGCAATCTCCTTGTAAGCAGATTGTGACAACAGCTTCCGACTCTTCTTGTCAATAGCTTCATCAGTAATTTCTGAAGCCAGCAACTGTATCTCGTTCTGTATTCTAGCAAGCTCCTCCTTTGCAGTAATCATAACATTACTCCCGACGTAATTTCCGAAACTTTGTTCAACCAACTTCCTGGCTTCTTCCAATGTCCGTCCAGAGCGCGACGGATCAGACTCATCTGTTTCAGGCGAGGTACGTGTAACTTTTGCCCCCTGCACAGGATAATGTGTGATCTTTAAGAAATCAAGATAACTAGGCTAAAGAGTAGAAGGATTAAGACCATACCGCAAGTAGATTAAGCACCATCCCATATGAAGCTGTAAACTGTGACACAAGAGGTTCAAGTCCAGAAAAGAGAACTTTGCAGCACTCTTCAGCCCCTTCATTTGGGGTCTGAACAAGCACAACATGGCCCCTCTCATCAATGCCTCTACGCCCAGCACGCCCTGCCATTTGGAGCAGTTCATTGGAATTTAAAAGAGTGCGTCCACTTTCAGTCCTTTTGCTCAGAGATGAAATAACAGCTGTTCTTGCAGGCATGTTCATTCCAGCAGCAAGAGTTTCTGTGGCGAAAACAACCTTCACAAGCCCCTTTTGGAAAAGCTCTTCAATGAATGATTTCCAGAGGGGTAGACAGCCAGCATGATGTGCAGCGACACCTCGAAGAAGCCCTTTTGCAGAGGATTCCCTCACAGCATCAGGATATTGAGCACGAAACCTTTTCAGGGCGAGCTCCACTTCGGTTATCTCGAGTTCATTCAATAGCTTGCTTTCTTCAAGATACTGAACAGCTGCATCACAACCTTTTCTGCTAAAGATGAACCAGACTGCTGGAAGCATATCCCTTGCTTCAAGATGCCATAATGTATCTCTAACTTGAGGGACCTACGACAGTAAAATCGCGAAACCAAAATGAATGATCCGGGATCCAAATATAAATTTGAATCGAAAGATCAATTAAGCATTAGTACGCACCTGTGGACGACGGGTGGAGTTCATGTCATTTTTTGCACGTGCTGGGACGTCGAACTGATATTTTCGTGATTTCCTTCTTCTGGAACCCTCGTCCCTGTACATATTTTCTCCTGATGAATCAAGCTGAAACTGGTTGACAGACAGTCTCCTGTTTCATGAAAAAATAAATACAGAAAGTTTGTAAGTACAACAATATTTCCACTAGTTTATGACCAGAAAATTATGTCCAACAAATTGTTAAAAATTATCAGAAGGCATGCAACCCCAACCAAGACACTATTTTGGCACATATATCTTCTTAGCTTGGAGAGGGAAAAACTGGAAAACGCTGACGAGCTAATTTCTATGAACTTACACTATAATCTAGCTTCTAGAAGGTCTTTAAAGTATTGAGTCCGGATAATCGATAGAAAAGTTTTCATAAAGTTTTCTGATGAAAAACTCCCTTCTTTAAATAAAGAAGCAATCACAGTACTGTAGTTCACGGTCGCAGGTACAACTGAACAGCATGTTAAAAAGTTCAGAATGGAAAGAGATTAGGCAAAAACTATTAAATGTGGTTCCTGCACCTATTACTCTTTTAATAATCAAGACCTCTTTCAAGCCTCTATGGTGAAGAGAACAGAGAACCATAAGCTGAAATGATAGAAGATCCTAAAGAATGTTACAGACATGTAGACCGGCCCCATGGTCCAGTCTTTACCAGAAACATTGGCTCCATACAGATACATAACAAAGCATATCAACCTCTAAGCCTACAGGCATCAAAATCAAAAGAGTCATTAATTCCAGTGTAAAAGTCACCTATTCATGCCAGTGCCCTTCTCATCAAGAAGTGGTAACATTGCCGTCTTTGTTGAGAAGTGCCAAGTCAATGGAACTGGTCGCTTAGATGATGTTACTAACTCGGTTTTTCCATGAATCTTGAAGCATCACAAATGAATAAAGAATTAGAAAAAAAAATGCGAATTAGAGAGAAAAGTTACAGAAAGAAAGAAGTGAAAAAGAATGAAAAAAAAGAACAATCTATTGCAGATAAAAATATGATAAATACAAAGTCAGTGGTGCATGATTAGAAAACTCAAAAGCAGGACCACTCTTGCCTAATGAACCAAAATACAAATAAAGATTGGGTTATTAAGCTTGTAAATTACGAAACAGTATCACCTTTAACTAAGAAATATGAAAAAGAAACACAGAAAATGTAGACGAAACTAGAGTGAAACAAAATGGAACGTAAAGCTGCATTTCATGTTTGGAAAGGGATCCACCAGAAAAGACTCAATAGCAAAATACCAACACCAGAATGAACAAATATAACAAACTTAAAGAGAAAAAACATACTTTTATCAAAATCAAGACTAAGGTGGTGTTTGCAAATGATTATGTAAAAGTAGAAGTTAGTGATTGTGAGTTAAGTTAGTTTTAAGTGCTTATTTCTAAAAGTTGGGGGTGTTTGCAAATATTCTAGAAAATGAACTTAAATAGAAAAAGCAGGGTTAGGGGTGCTTTTAAAAAAATAGCTTAAAACAGATTATTTTAAGAGAAGCAAAAGCAAAAGTTCATTTTGCAAACACCTGAAAACAGATTATGAGCAAAAAAAAGCTCATAATCACTTTCAAAAAGCTTTTGCAAACACCACCTAAAGCAAACTCCCGTGCCAAGAGATTAGTAATTTCAATCTATAAAATTCCAGGTACTTTAGAAACATACATATATATATATATATATATATATATATATATATATATATATATATATATGCACTATCTAGCAAAAAAAGATGCATGATAGGCCAGTAGCAGGAGTACCTGACCAATCCAGCCTGCCAACTCATCTGGGTTCGCAACAGTTGCTGATAAACAGATCAGTTGCACTTGTTTAGGGGAATAAATTACCTACATACGCACCAATTAACAACATATCCAAATATTTAAAATTTCAATATCGGTAAGTCTAAACTTAAACTACTCACAATTTCTTCCCAAACTGTACCCCGAGATATGTCACTCAAGTAATGCACTTCATCCAAAATAATCACGTCCACATGGGAAAGTGCACTTTCAGAGGAAGCCATCCCGACACTAAATCACAAACTTATCCATCAGAACAAGAGACAGAAATAGTCTTAGTGTATGTGGAAGTACAAAATTCCAAACAAATAAGCGTCCTACTAGATATCAAACACTCTGAGGAAACTAAAGACCCTGTAATAACATCAAGATTTCATCGAAAACAGTAGCATGCATGAAATAATTCAGAAGAAAAATATGAAACAAGCCTCATTCAGGACAAGATAATATTTCTCCAAAGATCAAGAAAACACTTTGTCTTAAAGAAAAATTCACACCTTCTCCACTGAGGTATGAATTTGAACGGAAGAATAAGCAACAAGTTATATGATCACCTTTGATACAACATATTGCGCAAAATCTCTGTGGTCATAATCAAAACTGGAGCATCTCTATTAACAGCAGAATCTCCAGTAAGAAGCCCAACATTACTATCACCGAATGTCTCACTGTAAACCCACATAAAAATGAACTTAGTATTTCCCAAAGTTTTATCAGTAACAACTCAACGAACTAACGTTCCTCACCGGAAATCACGGAACTTCTGATTCGACAAAGCTTTGAGAGGGGTAGTGTAAAACAATCTCTTTCCTCGGGCTACAGTAGCAACTGCTGCAGCTTCAGCAATCAAGGTTTTGCCACTGCTAGTCGGTGCAGAAACTACAACTGAAGAACCTCTCAAAAATGCTTGAATCGACGATCGCTACAGAAAACAAAAAATAAACTTCAATGTATTGTACATGCATTTAAAATGAATGATGTTGTGATAAGCAGTCAATCCATAACGTACAGAGTGTAATCATATGCTCATAAGAGAGATGATCGTATGTACCTCATGTTTTATTAACGAAGTGTAGTCAATGAATAGAACTGACATCTTATGTGGACTTCTCCACTCAAAAACTCCATTTCCAGGCACATGATTATGTGGACTTACATACAAAAATATATACTTCGCATGTTATTCAAAAGAAGCGTCAATAACTACTCCCACCACCTATATATTCGGTACATCACATACATTAACTACTACCATATCCTTGCAATCAAAACTAATAAAAAAAATACAGCTAAAAATTCGCACAACTACAAAACCAGAACCTCTAATTTATCACTTCAAGAAAGTGCTTGACATCTACGACCACCTGGTATCTAGTTTTCTCTAATGGAGGAAAATAACCTTGAAATATATCAATTACAGCTGGTTTGCATCACTTTCTAACTTCCGGGCATAGTGTCATCGTCAGGCAATGAATGTACATTAATTAATTTATGTTTGTTATAATAATACATATAAATCTTTTCAGAGAGGTTTCCTTTCCGGAGAAAGGCGTGGCAAGAAATGCTTTAATTTACTACTTTCTTCACTAAAGCCCAAGGTTATTGGGTTAGACATTTACGCAAACACATAAGTTGCTAATGGGGAATAGCGCCAATACATACAAGTAAGTAGTGTGCAGAGTCGGCATGCTTAACCAGGACAATAAATTTATCCTTTTGAAGCTTCCACAGGATAATGCGTGAATTTTAATTCATAAACTCGACCTGAAATTTATCGATTCTGAAGTCGTAAACCGATGCTAACTCCTCAACATCAATGATCTCCTCGCCAAACTCCCGCACTTCGTTTATAATCCTCTCCACTCTCTGCCACTTGAACTCCTCATACCTCGACTCACGGCCACCAACACCGATCCTCTCGCCAATACCGCCGCTCTCCTCTGAAACGTCGTCGTTTTCTTCATCTTCGTCCTGTTCGCTATCTTCCCCGATTTCACCTGAAACGACGTCGTACTCCTCCGCCGCCACGTCATCGTCCTCCTCCTCGTCGGAATCTGCTTCATTTTCATCGTCGGAGAGCTGCGAAGACGATTCGACAGGGAAAACTGAGTTTGGAAATTTGTAAGGAGCTGTGAAGCGAGAGTGGTTATTGAAGTGGAAGAATTGCAGGGGGCGGAACTGTAGGAAAGGTCTGAGTACAGGAAATGGAGGCAGCTTGTTTATACGGTGTATTCTGGTGAAGGGAGAGTGAGAAATAGAGAATGCGGCCATGGCGGGACTGGATTTTACAAGGGGATATTTTTTTATGAAGATAATTCTGGTATAAACTTCAAATATTAAATAATAATAAAATCAAATCAAGGGGGCAAAGTGCAATATTTGTAATTTAAGGATGCAAGCGGCGAGCGTAACTAATTGAAGGGGTGCAAAATGTTAATTACCCTAATAATACGACTAGATCTGCAATTTATTTATTTATTAATACTAAAGTAATTGTCAAAAGTTAGGATTAGAGAATAATTCATTTATTTATTGATATATAATCCGCACTCAGTCGCTGACTTTTCAGTTTATTCCATTTATACCCCCAAACGTCTCCCATTATTATAGTATTCGTCCAAGTATTCTCTGCCGTTGTCACCTCTTCTTCCTCACCAAACCACCATTCGTAATCATAATCGCCCTTTCACTCTCCCAATAGGCACAGAATTCCGCCGCTAGATCGAAGTTCGGCCAAATCAACGGCGAAGGAAAAATGGCTCAGCTTACTCACCGCGCCGCCAACCTCCGTAAAACCCTAGCCGCAGCCATTTCCGCCACGCGCCACCTCTCCACCGCCTCCACCGCCACAATCACCGTGGAGACTTCCCTTCCATTCACCGGCCACAACATCGATCCCCCATCCCGCACCGTCGAGACCACCCCTCAGGAACTCCTCACCTTCTTCCGCGACATGGCTCTGATGCGCCGCATGGAAATCGCTGCAGATTCGCTGTACAAGGCGAAACTGATCCGCGGATTCTGCCACCTCTACGACGGCCAGGAGGCTGTCGGCGTGGGAATGGAGGCGGCGATCACAGAAGGGATTGCATAATTACTGCGTATCGCGATCACTGTATCTTCCTGGGCCGTGGAGGGACGCTCTACGAAGCGTTTGCCGAGCTTATGGGGAGGAAAGACGGGTGTTCGAAGGGGAAAGGAGGTTCGATGCATTTTTATAAGAAGGAAGGAGGGTTTTATGGCGGACACGGGATTGTTGGAGCACAGGTTCCGTTGGGGATTGGGTTGGCTTTCGCTCAGAAGTATAGCAAGGATGAGAATGTGACGTTTGCGATGTACGGAGATGGTGCTGCTAACCAGGGGCAGTTATTTGAGGCGTTGAACATGGCCGCGCTATGGGATCTGCCTGCCATTTTGGTCTGCGAGAATAATCACTGTAAGATTCTAAGATGTTGGGAAAGAAAAATAACTTTACGATTCATCTCGAAGTATCAATTTACATGATTCAATTCCCAAGACTCTAATTTTGGGGTGTATGAAAGAAGTGCATGATTGATTGTGGTAGTAATACTGATTTGTGATTGAATTATGTTTGTTAATTTGTGAATAATAAGATTTTGGAAAACATGTATTCTTTTTGGGTTTGGTTTTTCGGCCATAAGATGTTCTAAACTGATGAAAAAATGTTTCATTTTATCGATCCACAGTATGGTTGGAGTTGCTTTTAGAATGAGCTCCGCAAAGTTCAGTCTGATTGATGGAGTTTTTGGTTTATCTTGATATAATAATTGGAACAATCCAAATTCACATTTTGCCCCCGTTTTACCTTCTGAAAATGAAGGAGAATCGAAATTTGCGAAGATTTTCAAATTGATTATTATATGCTGTCTATGTTTGTGTCATTTGTTGATAGACGTATTTTTTTTCCCTTATGTTAAAATTGTATGTGGTGTCTGCATATGATTTTCTTTATGGGTTGGTATACAGACGGAATGGGTACTGCAGAATGGAGGGCGGCAAAGAGCCCAGCTTACTACAAGCGAGGAGATTATGTTCCAGGGCTGAAGGTAATTACGGCTTTTCCTTCATTATTTACATGTCTTATATCTTTTGCTTCAAACTGATGGCGTGCTTTATGGGACACATTGTACATGGGGATGGACTATAGGATAGAGTTAACGCATAAATGATTTATGTCTATGCTCCAAGGCTACTTCCGTATTGTCTTCTCTTCAAGGCTAAATTTGTATATTTATGCATGTTTAAATTTAAGGAATCTGATAAACCAATCAAACTTCTAACACTTTGATAATCCTGTTGGGTTAGTCATTTTAAACTAATGTGTAGATATTCATAAACACAAGGATTTGATACAGTGAATGCTATAAGCAGGTCGCAAGTTGTTGGAGTCACTTCTGACTTCTGAGTTGCGATATTTTACTTGTGTTTATTATGTGACTTTCTATATCGTTAGAATTAAGCTACCTCTCTTCATTCATATTCAGTTATAAGGTATGCAAGTAATTGTGATGCTGCAGTTGACCTCTATATGGAAAATGTATTCTTCCTATTCAGTGTCGATTAAAGATTGCATGATTAAGTGAGGATCCTCCTATCAGATAGTGTTGGTCACTGCTATTTGAAGAGGATTATCTATCTTACGATGATAAATGGAAAACTTATATTAAATGTAAAGTTGTCAACTGATGTCTGCCTGTGAAATTAACTTCTCATATATCTAGTTTTTGTATCTGAGTTAGATTCGTGTATATTTATCTCTTCAGTGAAGGCAATGTTGACCATCATACTTCCTAATAATGTCTGACATGTCTTTTGATGAAATGAATGGGAAAACAAGATTACCTCTGCCTTAGGCTGGATGAACTCCGAATGTTGATTCTTGAAAAAAACAATTTGTGGAGTTGACATGATGAAGAACGTTGATCTTATTCTTAGTATATAGTTTTCTGTTTTCTTAACATATGTGATATGCGTGGCATTTTTGTATTGTGATAGGTGGATGGTATGGATGCCCTTGCTGTGAAACAAGCATGCAAGTTCGCAAAGGAGCATGCGCTGAAGAATGGCCCAATTGTGAGTGATACATTATTTTGCTGCCAATTTAGAATACGTTTTTTTTAATAAATAATTCAGAATACATTTATATACCTGAATTTGCCTTTCCTTGCAGTCCTAAATTCTAATGTAGCTATTGATATTCATACTGAGCCATTCACAAATGTTTATTTCATATGCCATGGTTATAATAGTGTCAACAAGCTTTAAACACCCTATTTAGCTAGAAGGAAACATGAACATTTTTTTTTATCTCTTAACTTTTGCCATATTTAAGGGCAAGAAACAAAAAATTATCACTGTGCATATGTGATTAAAGAATTTAAAATATTTTCTGGTCTTGCTGTGATGGGGTCCAAGAGTATCTTCTTTTGGATGTTTATAGATTAATAGGAGAGAAATTCGAAACTTTTTCATCAAGAAACTCAAGATATTACCAATTTACCTTATTACTTAGATCTTACGTGCTTGAAGTTGTAACTAAGGAAATAAATTATGTAACATTAAAAAAGCTGTTTCGAGTCGTCCAGGTTCGATGGATAGTAGTAAAACAGTATCGGAATTTGACTTTTCAACTCTTGTTTTATTACTGATTGTTAGCTTAGTAATCAGCTATGGCTAACATTAGTATTGGAACTATATTTGTGGACTTTTAGGATAACTGGACTACAAGTGTATAATCGTACAATGATTCAACTATGTTAGAATATTCTCTTTTAGGTATAATTAATGGACTCAGTCGTATGATCTACTCTTTTCTCTCACGATGGAAATTTCTCAGTTATTAAACAAATGAAAACATATGGAAATAGCTTCTGCAATGTACCTCTCTAATGAATGTGATATATTAGTTATTTCCGTAAAACATTACAGAGGTTTATCATCTCATTATAGAGCCAAGGATTACAGAAGCTATTTTCATAGAATGTGTATACCTCTGTAATAAAATGTGATACACCTCTCTAATGGTCTACTTTTTTCATTAGAGGTCCATTTAAACAAATGAAAACTTAAAAAACCAAGGATACATTACAAAGGTATATCATCTCATCAAAGCGGGTCCACTTTATTTTTGAAATTTTACAATGTGTTGTTCCTTTATTGTGATGTAACTTTGTCGCTAGAGTCAATTTGATTAATGTGAGAAATCATTGTATCTCTCGTTGATACTCGGGAAGAACTCTGTTTCTGTTCGGTTTCTCCATTTTTACTACGTAATAAACTCATTTATCCCCCTTATCTGTTTCAGATACTCGAAATGGATACCTACAGGTATCATGGCCACTCCATGTCTGACCCTGGAAGCACATATCGTACCCGTGACGAGATTAGTGGCATTAGACAGGTCAGTATAGAACTTTATGTCATATGATCATAAGATACTTAAATCCTTATGCAATGTTTGTACTCCATTCTCTTTTCTACAGGAGCGTGATCCAATTGAAAGAATCAGAAAGCTTATACTAGCTCACGATCTAGCCACTGAAAAGGAACTCAAGGTAACATAGTAAACTATCTATTTTGTAACTACTCGGTCGGAAGATTCTATTTTACTTTAACCAAGGTCTATACTTAGTAAATCTTTACTGTAATCATGGTGTGACGATGTACTGTTTTGTTCTCTATCTCAGGATACCGAGAAAGAGATAAGAAAAGAGGTGGATGAAGCCATCGCAAAAGCTAAGGTTAGAAGTGTCATACTTTTCACGTTTGTTTTAAATGTATCTAGAACCGTACCTCGTAAAATTTGCTCGTATCATGACTTGTATCAATTTGGTTTTTGCAGGAGAGTCCCTTGCCCGATCCTTCAGATCTTTTCACTAATGTATATGTCAAGGGCTTTGGAGTTGAGGTACAATTAATTTTGTTCGCTTATTTCTCGTAGGTAGTGAGTACCTATAGAACACATATAATTTTTTTTTAATTTCGATGTTACCGTAAGTGTAAGGTCTAAAACAAGACCAGCCCATATCTGATCCGATTCATTTTCCATGATTTGTTTTAATTTAGTTAAACAAGATTCGATAACCGAGTTCTGTGTTATTTCTCAGTCATTTGGAGCAGACAGAAAAGAATTGAGAGCTGTGCTTCCATGAGAAGAAACCTTCGATAAGCCAACACCCTCGTCGATGGACTAACATGCAATAAAACGGGAAAAAGAACTCGAGACAATAAAGAGTTGCTGTTTGAGAATATATTTTTCGATTTCGTGCTGAAAATCTTCCTCAGTTTTGATTGATTTTTTTACATATCCTTTTTTTACTTTAACTTGTTTTCCTCACATTGTGGATATTAGAGAGTTCTCTTTGCTGATATATTATTGGTGTTTGTTTGCCACAGTTGGTGGATGTTATTATTATTAGTATTTGCTGCACAACTCTTAGAAACTGTGAATCATTTGTTGGTCACCCTGCATTTGTCACCAGTTGATATAAAATTTATTTATTACATGATTGGTGGATATTTGCTGTTGTAATCAAGTCAAGTACAATTATTAAAAATATTTAATTAATTATTAAATATTTTCCCAAATGACGAAAAATAAAATAAAACTATGGTCTTCAAAATCTTTACGATATTGTTGATAAAATTAGGAGAAAAAAATTTATTTGAAAAGTGATGCATTTTCATTCGGAAAAATTACGGTCACCCATGAGCTAAGGTCAAATTACGAAAAAATCTCTAATGTTGAGTAATTACATTATTCCCTCAATTATGAATCTTCTTACACGTCAATATTTATACTGTCAAATTTAGTGGAATCTTTTAAATTATGTGAAATCTTTTCCAGTTAGTACCCAATTTATCTTATTCGAGCTCTACATTTTAAAACAAGATGATCGTTAAATGTATCTATTGACTTGTAAATATCAGATTGTGGCGCATCAAAATCTGTATTTTTTTTGCAGAAAACGAGTACAAACTAGAAAATATTCCACGGAATCTAGAAGATTATGTTGAATTTGACAGGATAAGAATGTACGCGTACCAAGATTCATAGTTGACAAGTAATTGCAATTATCCAAACAGGGTTTTTGTCGTGATTCATAGTTGAGAAGTGATTGCAATTATCCAATTTTTTCGTAATTTGAACTAGTAAATTACTCTTTTTTTTTGAATAAAAAATCTAACATTCAAAAAGACTATTCATAAAACCGAGATCATGTTTGTTTCACAATTTTATCCAGAAAATCCCATTTTTTCATATCAAATTTCTATTGAAAATACACTGTTCATATTTTTTTTCAATTTTCAAACCTACTAAAACGTACTACTAACCTATATATTTTATTCCATCAACTCATTTCTCTCTCCTCGTTAATATCTACACTCTCTTTCCTCCCAATTACTCTATCTACTACTACTACTAAAAAAAAAAAAATTAATAATAATAATAATAATAATAATAATAATAATAATGATAATAACAATAATAATAATACTAAATAATAATAATAATAATAATAATAATAATAATCACTATCATCATCCTCAATCATTATATTCTACTTTAGCACATACTTTCGTAGAGAAAATTCACCACAACCAAACATATTCTCATTTCTACACCTACATAAAACTAAAAATACCCCTTCATCCAAACGTTCCCATTTTCTACACAAAAACCAATAAACTACTTTTTCCATCAGAAATTTTGAAAACTAGAAATTCTCACTGGAAACATAACCAAACATCCCCTTGCGGAAGCCTCTGTTCGACCCTCAGTTCACCATTTCAGGGTTTTGGCCCCAATTTCTTCCTGAGCCCTAAAATTTCAAAATTCTCGTGACGAAATTACTGTTTTTCTACAGCATTTACATGAATGTTAAGGTATGTAAACTCGCAACTGCCTTGTTTCTTTTATATATATTTATTATATTGCTCTTCTTTTCATGTCAAATTCATCCACTTCACTGAGTGATCTGAAGCCGATTAATTTTTTTTATTTCCGTTCAAGTTCCTTTACGGAAAGCTTCAGAATTTCTTATGCGAAATATATAAAATATTCCATTTTCGAACTCAGGTAGTATAGTTGTAGTCTGCTTTTAATTAATGGAGTTTAATTGCTTTACAATTCGCAGATTGCTGCCCATCTGCAAAAGCGGGCTGTTCTTGAAGTCTCTGTCATCTTCAAATCGCTACCTATTAAATTCTCGTAGTTCGAGCTGCATTAGCAATTTATCGTATGGCACCGACGAAAGGAGAAGGAGCGGGGAGATCGATTTCGAGTTTCTATTCAGTGCTTGCACCACGTCTGAGATCGCCAAGCGCCTTCACGCTCTTCTTATTGTGTCAGGGAAGGCCGAAAGCATTTTTGCTGCCACCAGGCTCATCAATATCTATTCCCGCCTCGGCAATGTCTCCTTGTGTCGAGACACTTTCGATAGAGTTCCGAGAAAAGATTCCTATACATGGAACTCAATGATATCGTCTTACGTTCGAAATCGCCGTTTCAGTGAAGCAGTGAAGTGTGCGTTCGAAATGTTTTATAGTACCGATGTCAGACCCGATTTTCACACTTTCCCACCTGTGATGAAAGCCTGTAGTACTTTACTCGACGGGGCAAGATTGCATTGCTGGGTTTTGAAATTGGGATTTGTGTGGGATGTGTTTGTGGCTGCTTCTTTGGTGCATATGTACTGTCGTTTCGGATTTGTTGATATTGCCCATACGATTTTCAAGAATATGCCGTTTCGTGATATGGGATGCTGGAACTCTATGATTTCTGGGTTTTGCCAAAACGGTAATGCGAAGGAGGCGTTGAGAATCTTGGATGACCTGATATTCGAAGGCATGGAGATGGATTCGGTGACTGTTGCAACTAGTCTCTCGATTTGCGCGCAAACGAACGATGAGTTACGTGGTTTGTTGATCCATTTATTCGCAATAAAACATGGTCTGGAGTTCAATGTGTTTGTAGCCAACGCCTTGATTAATATGTACGCCAAATTTGGTCAACTAAGATGTGCGCAGAATGTGTTTGACCACATGTGCGTTAGAGACTTAGTTTCGTGGAACTCCATAGTTGCTGCGTACGAGCAGAACGATTATCCGCACGATGCACTCAACTGCTACCATCAAATGCAATCGAACAAAATCAGACCGGATGTGCTTACATTAGTCAGCTTGTCTTCGAGTGTTGCTCAGACAAAGGATTTCTTACTAAGCAAATCTGTGCATGGATTCATCATCAGAAAATGTTGGATCACACGAGACACTGTACTTGGAAATGCAGTCGTTGACATGTACGCAAAACTAGGCATTGTCGACTCTGCACACAGGGTTTTCGAGGAACTCCCTTGCAAAGATGTAATCTCGTGGAATACTATGATCACAGGCTATGCTCAAAACGGTTTCGCAAGTGAGGCTGTCGGAGTTTACGACAAAATGAAACAGAATGATGATGTCACACCTAACCTAGCCACTTGTGTGTCCGTTTTACCAGCTTATGCTCACTTAGGAGCCATGAGAGATGGAAAGAGAATCCATGCTCAAGTGCTGAAAAAAAACCTCGACTTAGATGTCTTTGTGGGTACTTGTCTTATTGATTTATACGGAAAATGCGGAAAATTGGATGAAGCGATGTCTTTATTCTATGAAGTTTCTAGAGAAACCTCTGTTCCTTGGAATGCAATAATATCATGCCATGGACTTCACGGATTCGGCGAGACATGTCTGAAGCTTTTCGAGAGTATGTTAAACGAGGGGGTGAAACCAGATCACGTGACCTTTTTATCGTTGTTGACTGCTTGCAGCCACACGGGTTTGGTTGACCAGGGCAAACGGTGTTTTGACCTAATGCAGCAAGAATATGGGATAAAGCCTACTCTGAAGCACTACGGTTGCATGGTAGACTTATTCGGTAGGGCTGGCTTATTGGAAACAGCGTATAATTTCATTCAAAGTATGCACTTGAGGCCCGACGCTTCAGTGTGGGGAGCTCTTCTCGGTGCTTGTAGAATCCATGGAAATGTGGAAATGGGCAGAAAGGCGTCGAACAACTTGTTTCAACTCGATTCCGAAAACGTTGGATATTATGTTCTGTTATCGAATCTTTACGCGAATTTCGGGAGGTGGGAAGGTGTGGATGAAGTGAGATCTCTGGCTAGGGATAAGGGTTTGTGGAAGACTCCAGGGTGGAGCTCGATCGAATTAAATAATAGGGTTGAAGTTTTTTACACGGGCAGTAATCAGTCACACCCGCAGTGTGAAGAGATATACACTGAAATGGCGGTATTGAATGGTAAAATAAAAGGGCTCGGTTACGTACCGGACTATAGTTTCGTATTGCAGGATGTTGAAGACGACGAGAAGGAAAGTATACTTACGGGCCACAGCGAGAGGTTGGCGATTGTGTACGGAATTTTAAATACGCCTCCTAAAAGTTCGATTCGGATATTCAAGAATCTGAGGGTGTGTGGTGACTGCCATAATGTGACGAAGTTTGTGTCGAAAGTTACGGAGAGGGAGATTGTTGTGAGGGATTCAAATCGGTTTCATCACTTCAGAGACGGGATTTGTTCGTGTGGCGATTATTGGTGATTTTTTTGCCGATTGAGGAAAATTACAATTTTGCCCTTGTAAGATAGATAGCAGGAGGAGACTAAATAGAGTCTATTTTTGCCCTTCTCAATTTCTTACTTGCAATCATACACAAATTTACAGGGATGAAAATGGAAATAGTATAATTTAGAAGGTGCTTAAAATAGTATAATAAAGTGTTGGGAGAAAAGAGAGCACGTGATCACGTGGCACCCCCGGAATCACTAGCACTGTGTTGTATAATTTCCAGCTGGCATCTTCTTTTCCTTTATTTATTTCCAGCTGGCACGTAGTCATTTTTCTTTTCTTTTTGTGGTCAATTAGTTATTTTAAAAATAATAAAGACCCAGACCAATTTTATGACGTCAGCAGTAGGTCATTATATACGTATATATAATAATAATAAAATATATATACTAGCTGGCATCTCCTCTTTCAAAAAATGGATTTCGATTAATACAGTATATACAGTTATACATACTCCACAAAGATTTCTTTCATTCATGGTGGCACAAGTCCCATTTTATAATTTCTTTATTCAAGAAATAAACAAAATAAAAAATGATCGGAGTTTCAAGATTCTACTCACTGCTGTTCTTCGCCGCCGTTTTCTTCTTCGTCGTCCTTTACATCCCATTCATGTGCCTCGCAATCCGTTCCCTCCCCAGCAACGACGCCTCCACCGCCGCCGCCGACCAATTCGGATTCTCCAAGGCGCCGGACTACCGCAACAACAATAACGGCAATTGCCCGCCGACGCACTCATCTTCCGGCGCCGCCGCGGCGCCGTGCCACTCCTCGCACATCCACGTGGCGATGACCCTCGACTCCGAGTACCTCAGGGGTTCAATGGCAGCGGTGCACTCAATCCTCCGCCACGCGTCCTGCCCGGAACAGATATTCTTCCACTTCATCGCCGCCGAGTTCGACTCGGTAACCCCACCCGCCGCCCTGAGTCAACTCGTCGGGTCAACATTCACCTCCCTCAAATTCAAGGTCCACATTTTCCGGGAAGAAAAAGTCGTCAATCTCATATCCACATCCATCCGCTCCGCTCTCGAAAACCCGCTGAACTACGCCCGAAACTATCTGGGCGAACTACTTGACCCGTGTGTGAAACGGGTCATCTACCTGGACTCGGATCTCATACTCGTCGACGACATCTCAAATCTCTGGGCGATCCAAATACCCGAGGGCAAAGTAATCGGAGCCCCGGAATACTGCCACGCGAATTTCACGCGATACTTCACCGAAAACTTCTGGTCCGACCCGGATCTGACCCGGGTATTCGGATCCAAGAAGCCCTGCTACTTCAACACGGGGGTGATGGTGATGGATTTGGATAAATGGAGGGAGGGGCATTTCGGGAAGAAAATAGAGAACTGGATGAAACTGCAGAGAGAGAAAAGGATATACGAGCTGGGTTCGCTGCCTCCTTTCCTGCTCGTATTTGGCGGGAACGTGGGCCCCATCGATCATAGGTGGAACCAACACGGCCTTGGAGGGGACAACGTGGCGGGATCCTGTAGGAGGATGCATGCTGGTCCAGTGAGCCTGATGCACTGGAGTGGAAAAGGTAAGCCGTGGATTAGGCTTGATCAGAAGAAACCCTGTCCGTTGGATTACCATTGGGAGCCTTACGATTTGTACAACCCGAAATTGAAGGTACAACCTCTTCAGTTTTAGGTACAACACTCGGATTTAAAAAAAAAAATTGTGATTGATTCTTTTTGGAGTAGTACACTGTACAGAATGAGGTGGATTTGTAGAGCTGGGGTATAGTTGTAATATTCTTCTTTTTTTTTTTTTTTTTTGATTTATCCAGTGCACTTATGTAATTAATCGAGGATTTTTTTGAATAAAAAAAAAAATATAATTACGTGCATTAAATCAATTCCGACCCCGAAAACAATAATTTAGTTGCATTGCAACTTGCGAGTACTTTCATCCTCCAAGATTGCTCCGAATTCTAACGACATCTTGACCACTTATCTTGAACCCCTTCGTCAAAACTTCGTCGGGAATGAGAGGATTCGATGTAAATGCGGCAACCGACGAAATTTGTGCACCGGGGTTTTGGCTGCTTAGTCCCGACACGGCTAGTGCAGGGATCTTCACATGCGTGTTGTACAAGAAATGAATCAAACCTTTCGGAAAGACGAAACTATCACCGGGGCGTAATCGCTGAGTGTGCAGACGATTCGAAGTGTCCACGAAGCCCACTAAGAGAGAACCCTCGAGCAACATGGTCACCTCCGAAGCCCTAGGGTGTGAATGAGGTGGCACGAGGCCATTGACCGCGATGTCTATTCGGGCCATGGTTAGGCCCAATGTGTTGACCCCGGGTAGGTTGTTGGTGTCGGTTAGGGTAACGTTGAATTTGAATCGATTCATATCACCCGGTTTCGATAATGCCGACGTGGCAAAATGGGAAACCATTGTTTGGTTTGGATTGATGCACGGGACACCGTTTAAGAAGAAATCGCGAGGGGTTTTTGTGTCGGCAACACAATAATCATGGATAGGTTCTGGGTCGGAATTACTAAAACTCGGAAAATAAATTATGACCGTAAATAATTGAAGCCATAAGACATGGTTAATTACCATGATGAGTTTGTTTCGACTTCGAGACAAAATGTTGTATATCGAACTTAGAGGTTTATATAGTCGGAAAAACAAAGTCGCATTTCAAGTGGTAGCAACTATAATGTAATATCCACTTGATAGATTTTTGAGTAACTTAAGAGCATTTGTATGAGGAAAAATTAAGGCAAAGTGATTGAAGACCAAAAACTAGAGTGAAAATGAGTTTCAATTGGGGGCCCCACAAGAAAGGCCCAAAGTGTCAATTTTTTAATTGATTTTGGGCTATTGAGAGGCTTTAAAAAATGTTATTGGGCTATGGCCCAAAATTCGACTTCAGATTAAAAAAAAAATATCGGCTATATTTAAGCATCAGTAAAATATTTACACTCTCGTATACTAACTTGTAAATCATGTGTGACAAACTCGACCTAGCGACCGTTGGTGCAAGTGGGATTCGAATTTTGATCAGTTGATACAAATTCATTTGTTCCAACTGTTATACAATCAATTGTGGGACTGAGAAAACTCATGTATTTTTATTTGACGGCAAGTGTGATTTAATTGGTTGAGTAGAAAATGTTATATTTAACGATTTGAAAAAATAAAATGTTCAAACAATTGAAAAATGGGTAAATTGGTTTAATAATGATGTGCATGAACATGAATTTGGACCCTTCAACTAGTACCATAATGAATGAGACAAACTGGAAAGGAACAAAGGAATCATTATCAAATCCAAGTGTCTAACCTTAACAAGAATAAAGTAATAATATCTTTTGAAATTATTATATTCTCTTAATTAAATGATTAGTTAATGTTCTTGTATTTACCACTTTGGGGATGTGGTATAAATAATGGAATTGGTATGCTTTAAATTACTTCAAAGGAAAGAAATAATTAATAAATAAAAAAAATATATATGTTGACATGGAATAATTATGTGAATATATTGGGCTCATATTTAGTTTGTTTTATGTACATTAGCACACGGGCATATTTATTTTATTTCCCTTTTTACATATGTAATAAGAATAGATATTCAAGTTTTTGTTTAGTTAAATTTGGTAACTAATGTTTTTTTTTTTCTACTTAATTGAAATCAAGTCAAGTTCATTACCGTTCAAATTTCATAACCAACTATATTGTTGCACTGGGTAAATATATATTTTCTTATGATAACTTACAAATCATACAATAGACGTAAAAACCACACTAGACTAATCATATGTGACAAGATCGACCTAGCTACCGTTGGCAAGAAGATTTGAACTTGGGCAATTGACACAAGTTCACTTACTACAAACCGATCGACCATTCTTTGCGGGACCACTTTATATATGTTTAATTGTTAAATAAGTTGCTTGATTAAAAATCATTCAAACAAGTTGAGATTGAATGACTTTTAAGTTTTAATCAAGTTCACTCATATGGCAATTTGGTAATTCCACTCTACACTTTGTAATTTTTAAGCCAAGTTAAAGTGACCTTGAAATTCAATTTCAAAATTCAAGTTAAAACAAAATCTTACCAACTTATTTTAGGTATTGTTGATGCATTCTTTTTGGAGCAAAATAAAAATATGGTGAGGAAAATTAAATTCAAATTTTAGTACAAAAGACTACTACATAAATTAACTGTTTACTTAGTAGATCAGAACTTAAATCGTCCAATTAAAGGGGGTCCACACGTGCCCCACCTCCACCTCTATTATTGACAGAAAAAGACCTCGCACGTGCCACCCCCATCTCTCCGTTTTCTTCAGACTGTGTACCGGTACTTGTTCACTCTTTAATTTTTTTCTAGTGGGCCTTGAAGAAAAACCATCTCCATCTACCCCAGCATCATCATTATCTTCAATCTTCACTCTCTTTCATCAACTTTCTTTTTGGTAAAGACTCAATTTTTATATCTTCTTATCCATTTTATGTTGCCCCAAACCTTTTTGATTTCTTCTTTCTGCCATTTTTTTGCTAATTCTTTAAGCTTTACCCCAAACCCATCTGATGATTTGTTCGTTCTTTTCAGATTTAGTGTTAAAGATTGCACTTTTCAACTTTTGAGGGCTAAAAGACTAAAAGCTGATCTGGTTGGTTATTATTATTATTATGTGCAACTTTTCACTTGATTTTGTTCTTATGTATATATGTATATATATTCCTGCCGCACTTGATTTTTTGTGATGATGGTTTTAAGGTTATCTGTTAGCACTTTCAGTAAAAAAAAATTTGTTTAATTTTTTTTTAACTGTTGGAAAAGCTGTAATTTTATGGATGATTGTTGCGGTAGAAAACATGGCACATGGGTTTGTTACTTGCACCTGCATTTTCATTTTCCCCCTTTTTTGTCTTGATTAGGGCACCGTTCTTGTTCTTGGTTGTTTCTGTAAGTTGCTGATTTTGCCCATACTTGCCTCTCAGCTCATGGTGGTAGATTTCGATTTCGATTTCAATATCAATTTCAAATCAAGATGAAGATGGATCTTTAGCTTGAATATCTCTGAGCAGAAAATAAGGTATATTCGTACTTACTTTGAAATGTTTAGAGTTACCCGTTTGATTAAACTTTTGTGTTCCGTATTTGTTCGTGGTAGGTAATTTGATTAATGAAGCTTTGATTAAAATCGAGATCTTGTGCTATATAATACAGATGGATGACTCTGTGAAATCGGATTCTAGATTGGAAGTGTCGGTTTCGTTTGGTAGATTTGAGAATGATGCCCTCTCTTGGGAGAAGTGGTCGTCTTTTTCACCGAACAAGTATTTGGAGGAAGTGGGGACTTTGTCAACACCTGGATCAGTGGCACAAAAGAAGGCCTATTTTGAAGCCCACTACAAGAAAATTGCTGCTAAAAAAGCCGAAGAGGAATTGGATCAAGAAAAATCGGACCCTGTTGTTCTAAACGCAGATGTATCGAGCAACGAAGAGCACATCGAAGATTCATCCTTCGTAGATTCTGAATTTGGCTTGTCCAATGGTGAGAGATTACTTGAAGAAGTTGAACAGGAAGATTGTATACCTGTTATTACAAATCTAGCTGGCGGTGATGACGTGGCAAAAGACGATGATGCTAGATCGTCGGAAGTTGATGAACATGTGATTAATGTGATTAGTTTGGAAGAAGAAATAGCGGATGCTTCTGTTGCTAAGGATGAGTTGAGTGTTAATGTAGATGAATCTGAGTTAGATGTCGGAAAAGACCCTGTTTTGGTCGGGTTAAAAAATCCTCAAAAACACCCTCTAAATATAACGGAAAAACCTCCGGAAAGGAAAAACGAAAGGAAAAACGGCACAGGGCAAACGGTTGTATTGAAAAAGGAAAGTTCTAAATCGAATGCGCGGATTGTAGCTCAAAAGGTAAAAAAAAAAATGGGAACTTCATTGTCGATCCATATCGAATTGTTTTAGTTCTACATTTCAAGAATTGATTTTTACTTCTTTCTGGTGCATAGGTAACTCCAACTAAAATCGAGAGAAATAATTCGGCCGTGACAAAGAAGAAAGTTATATCACCTTCACCCAAATCATTACAAGCTTCATCGACTCCCAAATTTACAAAGCCAATATCAATATCAACACCTATATCTGCCTCGTCGAAAAAGAAGGTGAGTAACGGCTCACAGTCACAGCTGTCGAAAAGTAGGAATATTCCTGTAAGAGAAATCAAGAGAGTAGCTCCGACGTCGTTGCACATGTCTCTCAGTTTGGGCCCGGGAAATTCTTTGTCTGGTCTTCCTTTGACTAGAAAGTCTTTGATAATGGAGCAAATGGGGGACAAGGATATCGTCAAACGGGCTTTCAAGACGTTCCAAAATCGTACTAATGTTTCTACGTCCGACGAAAAATTAACTGCAACAAAGCATGTACGTAATTTCGTATTGATTTTTTTTTCTTCTGATCCCGTTGTAGTTTATCTGATATTCTTTTGATATATAATAATGCCAGGTGTCGTCGGCTCCATTGAAGCAAAAGACCTCCACCTCTAGCACTAGTACAAAGGGGAACGAGGGGTAATATTTTTATTTTTTTTTGTCATTTGTGAATTGTGAGTAACTAATTATTTGAATATGCGAGTTAATTAATTATTTGAATTTGTAGAGTGAGGAAAGATGTTGAAAAGAGGGCTACTCAAAGGAGTGAAGTAAGAGCTCGATCGAATCCCGTGACTTCGGGGTGAGATTCTGCAACTCGAACCATTAACCGATGATCATGCAGAAATCTTATTAACTTTGTTATTTATTTGTTGCAAATTTCACATCGAAAATAGCTTCTTTAGATTGAAATATCATTCGACTACATGTACTAAAATCTCGTTTAAAGTCATGAAAACTGCTTTTACATACAAAATGTTTCTTCGATGCATGCAAATTTGATCTATATATGTTTTAAATTGGAAATTGGAGCTGTCGTCTATGCATAGTATAGAACAAGAAGAAGAAAAGACTTGTTTTTTAATTTGTTTTTTTCGGTAAATTTGTATTTAATATTGGTGGAATCTTTTACAAGTATTTTTATAGGCTATGTGACATTTTCCCTTTATTTCGATTTCTATTTAGTGATTCTTATATTTTTGAATTTAATAACAGACCACATAAAAGTTCGGCACTCGATAGGAAAAACACAAAGGCGGCAGCATCACCCACTACTACTGGCATCACAAGTGATGAAAAAGCTGAAAAACGGAAAGAGGTATTTTTCGATGGTCCTACCCTTATTATGGCTTTTCTGTACGTAAATCTTTTTTGACTTTTATTTATTTATTAATGTAAATAAACTTGAAGCAGTTTTTAAAGAAGCTGGAGGCAAAATCGATAATCAGAGAAGCAGAAAATGCCCAGCTTACTGCAAAATCAAAGGTATGATCTTATTGCAACATTGATAACAGTTTAATTTGCTTTATTTACACGTGAATCTTGAATCAAGAAATCACCTGTCTAGGTAGAAAACGAGTCGACTCATGATTAGTGGAAATGTTGATAGCTGGTGATTTTTTACTTATAATAATTTAGATGTCGAGTAGGTCGATTTTTCTGACGAGATGCTATGATACAAGGAATTGAATTTCGTGACGATTTATTAAAAATACACACTCAAAACACTTTATCTTTGCTAAGAAAATATCTTACTAGTATTATAAATAGTCGATTTTTTTTTCAGAATTGCCCGTTCGCATGAACATGCACTTGAAGTGTATATTCGAACTTTTTTCGAGTCTGCAAAACCTTCAAAAAAACATTTTTCGATATATGAATGCACTTGCCCTATTTTGCAGGTTGGTATGGAGAACGGGACCCGTCAACGACCTACATTGAGCCGTTGAAAAAGATTGTTCTTTTTTGTATTTCAAATGGCTTCTTCGAGACTTTGGCTAAATGAATTAAGTATCAATTTGTTTTG